AATAATAATAATTCCTTACACTTATATAGAACTTTTCTGGACACTCCACTCAAAGCGCTTTACAGGTAATGGGGATCCCCTCCACCACCACCAGTGTGCAGCCCCACCTGGATGACACTCCCCACACACCAGCTCTCAGTGGGGAGGAGAGCAGAGTAATGAATGGGGATTATTAGGAGGCCATGACTGGTGAGGGCCAATGGGAAATTTGGCCAGGGGTTACACCCCTACTCTTTTCTAGAAACACCCTGGGATTTTAAATGACCACAGAGAGTCAGGACCTCGGTTTTACATCTCATCCGAAGGACGGCGCCTGTTTACAGTGCAGTGTCCCCGTCACTATACTGGGGCATTAGGACCCACTGGGACCGCAGGGTGAGCGCCCCCTGCTGACCCCACTAACACCTCTTCCAGCAGCAGCCTCAGCTTTCCCAGGAGGTCTCCCATCCAGGGACTGACCAGGCTCACACCTGCTGAGCTTCAGTGGGCTGCCAGCTGTGAGCTGCAGGGTGATATGGCTGCTGGCGAAAGATGCCCTCCGTTTTCTTTGTGCCGACAACGGAGGCGAAGAGTCACCTTTTGAAGTCCAGCTTGATGCCTTTGTCGGACGCCAGCACCTCGTTCAGCCAGTCGCGCAGGGTGATGTCGCTGTCGGTGTCGGGCGGGTGGGCCATGACAGGCTCTCGGGGGGCCTCGCCCCGCAGGATGACGTCCGCTTCGATCATGTGGGCAGAACCTCGGGTGAAGCGCGGACCCATTTCAGTCAGGCTCGTTCTGAACCCCGGGGTCGTGAAAACCCTTCTCCGCACGCAACGAGCCCGGCTTCCTGTGGCGAGCCTGGCACCAGCGCCCTCCGTCGCTGTGCGAAGCCCGCGGCACCTACGAGGACCAGCCGACCCACGAAGACCATGGGTAGCCAAGATCTCCGGACGGCCAATGCGCAAACCTTTCGTCTGGGCTACATGGAGAGAATCAAACTGACGCAGGCCCGTCCGAAGACGTGCGACGCCTCAAGAAGGCTCCACAGCCGAAACACTGTTTATTTGCTCCAACGGGTTTCAGCGCGGAATAACACTCCACCTGTTGCTTTACCGCCTCGGAGTGCCGACGCAGGTCCCTACTCGAGCACTTTTATTGACACAGCCAAAGAAGATAAGTTTGCTTAACGGCCGTCGGAGATCTGTGCTACATGTTATCTTTGTGGCTCCAGTTGGCCCCCTGATGCAGCTCTGTGTGTTGGTTTATGCAACGACCTTAATAAAGTCTCCCTTACTTCTCAGCGCTTCTGCAATCTTGCTCTTGCTGTTGGCTGCGTGGTACCACACTATCTCCGCCGCGTCCCTCTCCTGTATGAGCGCTCTACCGAGGAAGTAGTCCAGCGTTTCTCCGCTCATTCTCCCTGGAAACACACACACACACACAGGGGTCTGCAGTCGGAGTGCGGGCAATGGCGACAGCACAGCGCTAGAGGTTCACTCTTCAGAGCTATTCACACTTTTAAAATCGGTCAGCGAATGTTATGCTGGCCCTCAGCTACCCAAGGGTCCGAACAAATTATTTTATTTAGGATGCACACCTAAGTCTTTAGCTAGCGGCGTTTGCCGCCACACTGAATTTCACATCCCTGCCCAGGAAATCCCGTAACCGGACAGGTGATGATCGCAGCCCTCTTCAGCTCCACAGTGAAGAGGGCTGTACGGATTGTCGCCTACAGTATGCCTGCTGGATCTGACCCATCACAGAAAACACATAGCAACCACAAGGCCTTGAACATTTCCATCCAAAGCTCAGTTCCGAAGACTTACCACGTTTGCGCAGGCTGGTGCACACCTTATCTTAGGGGGGAGAAAGAGTTAAAACACGGTTTAAACAACCGAACAGACGAAAACACTACCTCGTCGTGTAAACGTACCTAGAGTAACGGGAGAGACGGCCCTCTCGAAAACCCTCAGGTTCCACAATGTCCAGACAACTGCCAATACCACGAACAAGGCAGCGGCTGCCGGCAAAGTACCGGGGCTTCCAAATTTCCGCATTGCTCACGGCATGTTTAAAAGGAACATGCACGACCCTTCCGAAACAGCGATAAACGATAATCTCTCCATTTAAACGGAACGCCCAACGCAGCAGTCGGGCTCTTCGGACCCTTGTTTTAGGAGCACCGGCCCTCGGTGCCGCGGCGACCTCTGGGAAATGTAGTTCCGAAATCGGCTCCCCCCGCCCCTGGTATCGAGAATCCATTTCCACTCAGTTTTAGTTTTTCCTGTTATGACTTCCGATGGTCCGGGTGCATCTGCAAGAGTGTATACATACACGAATATATATCCAACACAGACGCCTACTAAAGCTGGATAATTGAATTTAATGCTGTGTTTTTTTAAACTGTACCATGGCTTTATTAGTGAACATTGAGCAACCTGATACACCTAGACGCCCGCTCTCGACTACAGTAAAAGCTGGTTTCCCCCGTGTTTTTTTCAATCGAGTGTGTCTGTTCCTTCCTAAACTCCGGGTGGATTCTTTGAAAATACAGCTCTTTGACACGTGATTCGGTCCCTCGTTTAAGCAAAGCAAGCAAAAACTGATGTGATTTGGATTAAATAGGGGTTTAACATTTGGGACTTTCTGATGAAACGTCACGTTAGTGTTATTTAAAAACTGAGAACATGAGGCACTTCCCACCCCCCCACCAAAAGGGTCGTGGGAGACTGGAACAATTTACCCAGCTCTGTTGTTGAAGCTATTACCTTGGCTTTCTTCAAGAAACGAAATGGGTAAATGAATGACTTCTGCTTGTTTGTAACCTTTCATTAACACTCAGATTTCAGCTATGTCAATGTTTATGAACTTTAGATTTTAGATATATGTTTTTAACCAGGCCTAAGTATTCTGAGTTACAAGATACTGAGTAGATCTTCATTCACACTGCCCCGAACACGTACTGTAGCTGTAGGGAACTCCACCCTGGAGCTTCATTTGCTCCAGTTTGTGGCAGTGTAGTGTTATCAACTGAAATGAAACGTACCAGCCGATGCAGCCAATGGTCAAAAAGACCTTCCTATCAAAAAGACAGAAGTCAGTATACAGTAGTGATTTATGATTGTAGTAGTTCAGGTGTGTAGCTGCGTCAGCATGCCTAGGCTGCAAAGGAACAAGTAATAGGTTTATTCCCTGCTGAAAAAAAGGGAGAAAGAAAACAACGTTTTGGCCGTGGAGCCTTCTTCAGGTGTGAGTCATTTATGATTATTCTTCCCTGTAACAAACCTCCACCACTCTTTCAACTTCTCAGACGCAAGAAAGGTTACAAACGAGGAGCTGCCCTTCGGTCTGGTTGCTAGTAACTAACCGATCCAGGGATCTCGCTCAGTCATTTCACAAGAGAGGCCAGTTTATCAGTGTGGGTTACACGGCTGGGCAGCCTTCTCCAGACTCCGGCAGCCCTTGTCAAGACCCTCGTGCTGTTTTTCAGCACACTTCCCCCTAGTTTTCTCTTGTGTCCCGTGGTTCGTGCTTCACTCTCGCCGTCAAGGATGTCCAGTGGCTCGACTCTGTGAACGCCGTTGAGCATTTTTGAACGCTTGACTCCTAATGCTGGACGTTGAGTAACTGCTGTCGCACGTGCTCTCTCCAGAGCACAGGAACACGAAGGGTAACCAAGGTAACCAACATAACCTCAGCCACCCCCCCACCAATCGACATGTTACCGTGACAACGTGCTGTGGTAGGAAATCCATCGCACCTGTACGTCTTTAACAACCGCTCACCTTACTTACCTCATTTAGTACAGAGGACACTAGACCAGTTCTCAGGTCACATCCTCCTTACCCAGTCTTCAGAGAAATTCCCGTCTCATGTCTCGGCGCTGTTTGCGATGGCTATTCCGGCATTATAACCTCGCCTCCTCGAATTTCACTCAAGCGTCTCCCGGCCTTAAAGTTTAAGACTTTTGTTTTTCTCGTCTCTCGGATCTTCCCGTTACTCCCGGCCACAAACGCTGCTGCATTCTGGGATTGCTCTCCTGGACTGCGATTATGGTATGTTCACTTGCTGGCACCTGCTAGCCCTTCAACTCCTCCGCTGGATGGCTCTTCCCTGTGCCGACACTACATCGGTCATCTACTCTTCCTGCACTGGGGCTTCGCCAATCACTGCTCTCCTTCGCGGAGGAGTAGTAAACTTACAGTTGCAAGACGTTTTCACAAGTCTTTCAAAGCGATACATCTGACATTCTTTACGTCCAGTACCTTGTAGCACAACGTGGAGCACAGCTAGAGCACAACATGCACACTATAATCTTCAGTATTGCCTTATTGTATATCTTCAGGTTGTCTCACCTCACGCTCCATTTCATCAAGGTGATGGGAATTTCTCCATCATACCGATTCTCTGCTTCTGCAAAGATCAGAATAAAAGAATAGGCCTCCAGGGATGTTTACAGTAAAGGAGCAACGGTCCTGTGAATCTTGTCCTTCTAGGCTGACATACAGACCAAGTGAACCACTCAAGAAAATGTGCTCTGATGTCCTAATCATGTAAAGCATACTCCAGAAACTGAAATTTTGACATACAAATCAATAATTTATTCTCACCTACTGGCAATACATCAATACAAATTGTTTGTATGAAGGCTGGATCCTCAACTCCCAACCACCAGCAATATCAAATACAGCTGCTGGTTTAAATGGATATATATATATATGTGTGTATATATACACATTTCACAATGGTACAGAGTAATTGCTTTGGATAAAAAGCTCAAAATACAATTTTTGGTACTGCTTTAATTTAAAGTCCCATTAAGCAATCATGATTTCATCCTGAACAGATTATGATCAGCAACTAAAGACTCTCCAATGAAGATTCACAGAAAATTCAAAAATTTTACTGAGAGTAAACTTAAACTACTGGTCAACAAGTGAAATACTAGATTTCACTTTGAAAAGTGTTACACAATTCCACTTTTCGTATGAAACCATTTCTTATTAATGCAACTTTTTTTTAAAAGCCATACAAGTGTTGTCAAACTGTTGCACCACCCTTATTTAGCATTGCCACTGAACACTGGGATTTGTCCATGGGTGGTGCTGGTTTGTTACAGAGATTTACAATGTTTTCAGAATGGACTTCATTGCACACTCAACCTTTGTTACACTACACAGACCCTGCGATGGGGAAGGTAAAAGAATTTGAAGCTCTCAAGGCGTACGTTTGATAGTTACTCCCCACATGCATTTTTAGCTGCCACGCCCTAATTCATCTGCTGGCTAAACATCTTTCATTTGCGTGTTTTCCCTGTCTGAACCACATCTTCCATGTATTGGGGTATCTCCATTTAGAGTTTAAACGCTAGTGACACCGTCACATTTTGCATATATTGTTCTGGAGTGAGTTTTCAGAGCAATGTTGTTGGTTTGTATGCTTCCTTAAGGTTCTGTCTTTTTTCTGTGAAGCGTACTGTAATATGACTATATAGGAAAAAGAGCATTCAGGTAGGATTTTTCAGGAAAGGTGTCCTTCTGATGTGTGATGTTGTTTTCCTTATTTGGACTCCATCACCGCCCTGCAAAGAATAACAATGAATTCCCACCCAGAGGTGCTCTTTACAGAGCAGGTGGGGGTGAAAGTCCTGTGAAGTTCAGAAAGAATTAATCAACATCTGGAAAGAATTCAAAGCTGGTCTTAAGTGACCACAGTTCTAAAACTCGCCAATAAAACAACTCGGGACCATTCTGAATAAGTATACATACGAAAGGTGTTTATTAAAGCATTACAGCAACGTATTTTGTGCAAACCCATCTGTAGAGAATGAACCCCTGCTATTTCCCACCTGGGCCTTTCTTATATACATCCAGAAGCTGTGATGCATTTTTCTCTAACAGGAAAGGAGAACACTTAAACCATCTATCAATGAGTCATATATAGTGTAGCATGTGAACTGTTTCAATGCCTGATCTGATGGTCACAGGGATTAGAAAAGACTTTGGGGAAACAAGGTAGTGTTGTGGTGGTGACAAGCAATGCTATCTAGACGAAATGACAGCAATATGCTCAATATGCTGGGTTTATGAGTCACTTAATGAACTGCAGAGAAATGCTTCTGTGTAAGGCAAATGACTCAGGTACTACACCACAGGGTCAAATTCCCCAGTCCAGAGAGTAGTACGATATTAAAAGTGTTACTGTACCTGCTCTCACTAATTTACATTAAAGTGCAAATGTCAGATTGTTACTTATTCCAGCATATATTCATAGTAATTCAGTTGGTCTTCCAGGACTTCAAAAGAACACGGCAATTCAATTTCAGCTCTATAAGTTTATCACTAAAACACAAAAAAATCAGGACACCTGTGCATTTAAAACAACACATATTAGCAGGCAGAAAGGGGAAAAAATTCTAAAGTAGATTAGCAGCATTGTAATTTTGGCCGTGCTGAGAGAAAAGTCCATACCTGAAATGCCTTTGCCTGGCACGTGTTTGTGTAACATGTTTAGCAACTTTTGCTTCTAAAAACACATCAGCCATGCATGATTTCATAGAAGACTTAATATGCCTTCAAAACTAAAGTGTGGATCCTTTACAAAGGTTTTGGTCTACAGCAAAATGAAGAAAGCTGTCAACTTGACTCAATACAAATACAAAGATTTTCATTAACAGCTGTGTTCTATATGAATTAACAGAGGTAAAATAAGACCTTAAAGATAAATTGCTTGTGTACCATGCTATTTCTGTGGGCCCTGGCTATACCAACAGACAACTAATTAGTGTTTCCAGATTTACAGTCACTGTGTTGTCTCAGGTACAAGGCTTTACCTGCACAGCATCTGCAATATGACTAACATCCTATCAAAAATATCTTTTAATGCACATAAAATTTCCAAAAATAGGTTTTAAGCACTTCATTTTGAAGAGCTTTATATAATTTTCCTATTCTTACATTTTTTATACAATGACAAATCAGCATTAAGATATTGAGGAGTGTGAATAGACTGTGCTCACACAGCATTTTACGCACCAAGAAAAACATTAGAATAATACAATAATAATTAGCAATATCCTCTACCTGAAAAATGATCAGTACTTATAAACTTTTCTAATTACGTGAAGGTGACTAACTTGAAGGTACTTGAACCAACCACGTCTCATTATCTTTGTTTTCAATTATAATAAAACCTGTCACACTTCAGATACAACATTGAGATTTAGGGCTGCATTTTTAGGCATTAAATGGCTTTGCAGTATTTTCTTTATTTTTTTCACATTCTCAGATATAAAACCTGGTTTAACTACCTGGATTTGCTGTAATATACTCAATGCATGTACCTGTAATGTACCTGGGTTTGCTGTAATGTACTCAATGACAATGTAAAATGTACAGTAAGCCAACAGGTTTAATTTTTCATATTTTTTTCCAGTATGATTTACTTTAGCATTTAAAAGTGCTGCTATTTCTGCTTTTTTAAAGATCCTATATTTCTAAGCCGCACAAGAGACCACAGTTGAAGCAGCCCTCGCTGTCAGGGCAAGGCCTGTGTGTGGACTCCGGCGCTCTCCCTAATGATAGAGGGCAGGCGGCATTTTGTTTGAGTGGAATGTCATGGCCAACCTCTTACTGTAAGAGGGGGTGAGTAACTGGCCTCCTGGTACAAAAGCCCCCAATGCCATGTGGAAACTGTCCTATCCCTGAATGTCAGGTGCACCAAAAGCTGACCAAGTTACGCTGGTATTGTTCCCCCTTCAGTTCTAAAAGGATATTATCATCACTCTAGGACACAGTCCACAACATGTGCAGAAAGGCACAGAACTAACAGCATTCAAGAGCAGGGTATGCGAGTGCTTATTGTGCTGGTGTCAGTGGAGCGACAACGTTTTTAGAGGCAGGCTGTAGCCAAAACAACAGGCAACAGAGCACATCAGCAATACTCAATCATACTTCTGAAAGGAGCCAGCAGAACACTGCTAACCCTGCACCCACTGTGTGGAATAGTAATGAGTCACTCGTCAGAACTCGAATCCCATCCCTCAGGGTGTTCGCGTGCAAAGGCTCTGAATGGTACGAGTGGAATCCAGAACAATGGGTCTCAAATAAAACTGGCAGTGAAATGTATGAAATTCAGCAGAAGGTTACTCAGAGGATCCCATTAAACAACCAGTACTTGATAGCTTTAAGAACAGTGCTGTGCCCCCCCTTTTCCATCTACATGTTCTGATCTGAACGATCCCAGGCATCCAAAGCACTCCGAGCCGGTGGCCCGTCACCGAGCCCCAACCTGTGGCGCTGCAATGCTTTGGCGCGTCTGTGGTCCGAACTGGCCCGGGCTCAGCCGAGGCTCTCTGCGATGAAGAAGAAGAACTCCATGTCCATAGCCTGGCGGGGCACGCTAGTGCTGCCGCCGTGTATGACGGGGATCAGGGCGCTGTCCAGCTCGTTCATGTAGCGCTGGGGGAGGAGCCGCCCTCCAGCTCCGGCCTGGTACTCCACCTGACGAAACACGGGAGCACAGCAGCCCACGGTCAGCACACTGGACTCCCCTCCGCACCAGCGGGAGAACACTCCAGCCTGGTGAACCCTACGGCACACACCCTACACAGATCACATTCAAATTAGCTTCCAAGGTTGTGCCACTCCTGGATTTTTAGGATGTGTGAACATCATACAACACCTGTGTTAGCAGAACCACACACTCTAGGTTTGAGTTTTTTCCTGCACCCACATATATTTTCTCTGTTACAGTATATAAAACATGTTTACAGTATTTAGCAGTCACTGATTAAACCGTATCACCTCCACCGAGTTTCCGGTGCAAGAATACGTTGGCAGCATTGCGTCTGAAAACAGACGAATAACTAGATGGAAAAAGTGACCTGTTTCTCCTTAAACCTACATGCATTTCAATCAGCTGGGTGCCCAGAAAGACACGCATACAGGATAGAAGCAACGCTTGCACGGAAGCTGCTGTCGGCAGTGACGGAAGAAGAAAGAGCCCAGCCCTCACCACGTCGGCGTCTGTGGAAACGCGCAGGCCCAGGTGGTTGATGCCGCTGTCCTTCAGTGTTTTGAGGTGAGGGCAGAGGGCAGCGCAGCCGGCTGTGGCGATCTCGCGGGGGAACTGACTGTGAGCGGCCAGGACAGCGGACAGAGAGCAATCCTGCTCCTTCAGGAGGTAAAATACCTGAAACACAGACACAGGGCAGAGCTGCCACTTCCACCAGCTAGGACATCTGTCAGAACAGGTTCTCAATTACTCACTGACCTTTAAGCACAGAAATAAAAAAAAAAAGGTAAACAGCTTTGGCAAAGGAAGGTCACTCTAATCCCTAGTTTAACCTGAAAGAAAGATTCAAAAACATCTTCTGCTTGTACTGCCATGTACCTCTAGAAAGCATACAGTGCTTTATTGTGCTAGATTCTTCCTTAAGTTTGCCAAATGTGCACAGAGCAGTAAAATGTTCATACCTTAAACCCTAAAAAGGAAAATTGCAATTGCAGGATTGCAATTTCCCTCACGGGATCAATAAAGTATCTATCTAAAACACTTTCTTAAAAAAAAGAAAGGAAACGGGGCTAAAACACTACCCTGCTCTGTGAGACAGGACCAAGCACACAGTAATGCGAGTAGAAAATCTGCAGCACAATCCGCGGCATACCTCAGTGCACTTAACAAATTTCCCGTCAGTCTCAAACTCTGCCTCCTGTTGCATTTTAACATTAGGCACGCCTTCCAGAGACTTCCCATCCACAGGGCTCGTGACTCTGGTGAACAACAGTGCACATGCTGTTAATATAAGGCACGTGAAAGGAGGGGGACAAGTGTTTAACAGTTATGAGAACTCCAACAGTAGTGTCGATTTTTATTTATGGGCAATTAATTCTTTGCCAACAATGACTACAGTTTAATTGCTCAAACATGACACAAAACCATGACTATTCTCAGGCTCATTTAGGTGTCCAAAAAAAACCTCGTCTTCGGAATTTGCTCTACGAACGTTGCCAGAAAGGTGGAGGGTCAGGGTCTCAGTGGCAGATACAGACTGGTGCATGACTCTTACCCATGAGTCACGAGCGCCGGCCTGTCCACCCAGCAGATGTTCACATTCTCCCTCGCATCCCCAGAATCCAGCTTCCCGCAGGGGATCTGGAAGTCTCTCTTCTCCCTGAGTGCTTGCCGGAGGGCTTCCATGGTGTCAGGCGTGATCTGTACCATTAATCCGTCTTTTACAAATTGAACAAAAATGGAAAATTAAAAAATAAAACAAAAAAGCTGCTAGGCATTAAGACCTTTAATTGACCAATTCTGTTTATAATAAACGGCACTTAAATATGACCTGACTGCATTAAACGTTGCTATATTGTACACGTAACCAGTCTTACACTGAGATACAATAAATCATTCCAATAGGAAATATTAACTTGATGAATTATCCTGAAGGGTCAAGGACGAAATCAGGCCTGAACACCTTAACCTTTAAATTAGGTTTCTGAATCTAATGTAAGAGTGAAATAAAAGGCCCCCCTCTCAATTCTCATTGTAACACTGTGTACCACATACAAAGCAAACTACACAGCCAGTTTCAATGAAGATCTTTCAGGAGCTGAAAATAACAGTTTTTATTTGAAGTTGGCACAAGCTAGTGGAGCTTAGGAAGAACTATTTGTTCTACCATTACCTGTATAGTGGATGTTAAGAACTCTCTTAGTGGGGCTTAAAAAGAACTATTCTTCTCTCCTGTTACTTGCATAGTGGATCTTAAGAACAACTTGTTTTTTTCTCCTATCGCTTGCACAATATTACCTTCAACCATGCTGGATTTGGCAAGAAACCCAGAAGAAGCCTTCAGAGCTCCATTGAACACCACAAAGCTCGCTCCTGTGACTGAAAAATAAAGGACTGCTTTACACCAGCTGATATGTACCTTGTGATTTAGAATCTGCACACAGATGCAGACATTCATTGTACGGAATGTCACTTAACAGACTTTAATAATACTCAGTGGAATTGATGTACAGATACAATGTACAGAAAATCTCAAACAGAAATAAATCTTTGTATTTACTGAAAGAAATGAACCAGTGAATTTCACCGTTTCAACTTAAGGGTTTCAATACTTTTGTCTGCAACTGTAAATGTCTGAGTTCATCTTGAAGAAGGCAGGGTATGTAAAGCAATTTTCTCTTGAGACTGCTAACATTTCACTGAAATATCAGTGTTGATACTGACATTTGTGTGGCCTTTTTTTGCCTCAATACAATGTGGTCATGCATGGATTGTTAAAACCTTCAGATCTTTGCTATTGAATTTTCAGACGGGTGTAAAAAAAAACAAAGCTTCACAGCTAACCTTTTCTGGGCTTTCCCATCATGCTACTTGCTTGCGTCTGATAGTTCCCCTCTTCGTTCTGCACACAAACCAAGTGAGAATCCGCTGTCGTGCTGAAACTTGCTCCCACGCTGATCACATGCTCATTGGAAGCGCTCACAACTTTCAACATCTGTGAAGACAGAAAACATCCATACTGCGCATCAGGAAGAGCCCTGTCCCACTGGATTCAGCCATAGCACTCGGCAGGTTAAGTCACTTTCAGATGATGGATGGAAAGGTAATAATTACAGTGTAAGACTGCAGGTTTCTCATTGCTTATACACATTTCTTTGAGACGCCACATTTAAAATAGTTGATGATGATGATTATTTTTATTTTATGATTATTATTAACCACTATGCCAAATTATTAAAGAGGAACTGTGCACTCAGCATCACTGCTTAGGCAGAGTACAGGGCAGTTTAAAAGAATTAAAGGAAACAATACTTCTATACAGAAACAAGTAATAGGTTTATTCCATGCTGAAAAGAGAAGAAAGAAAACACATTGTTTCGGCTGTGGAGCCTTCTTCAGGTGTGAGCAAACAGGTGTCTTCCCTTACACCTGAAGAAGGCTCCACGGCCGAAACAATGCGTTTTCTTTCTTCTCTTTTCAGCACGGAATAAACCTATTACTTGTTCCTTTGCAGACAACGCATGCTGACGCAGCTACCCACCTGAAATACTTCTATACTGTTGTTTTGTTGAAATTTGAGAGCACAACACCAGAATATTCTAAAACAATACTTTTACTTGAAATGGAATCGGAAATGGGCATACTACTTCTTTTCCTCTTGATCACTAACTCAAAGACATTTACAACCCCAGCCACACAGTCAAATGCCCGTTAGATACCAATTAGTAAAATTAAAATTACTAATTAGTATAAAATTAGTATGGAATGGTTTTACCCTCCAGTACACCAAAAGTTAAGATTGCTTTTGGCATGAATTCAAAGAGATGGATTAACCATCAGCTGAGATACAAGAAGCAGAAGACAGTCACATGTTTATTGTAGCTGAGAAAAGTGGGAAAAAAATAAATAATCATGAACTAAAAATGAAAGATTATCATGAGAAAGTGCAGCCTTACCTCACTGAACTTCTCCCTGGGTATTTCAATGTAGCTATTTCCCATTTCCATGTGGATCAGCAAGCCTTCTACTACAGGCAGGCTGTACTGGTAATTTCGCAGGTCCTGCCAGAGAAGAAAAAAAAAAACACATGTAAGGCCAAATCCCAAGGAAGCAGGGTCAAAATAGAAAACATACCAGCTACAGCATGCCAGCTTCTTTGTGAAATTTCCAAGAGTACCTGTCTCAACATGAAAATACCCAATTTAAGAAATCAATATGTGAGAGGTTGTGAGGCAACAGGCTTCAGTAACTCCATTTATGGTTAGTATTTTGGCATTATTCCTGTTGTTGTCCTGAATAATGTATTTTGGCATTATTCCTGTTTTGGCATTATTCCTATATGCACTGTTCTTGGGAATTGGAACACTGATAGGAAAAAAAGGCTTACTCAACCCATTGTTTATACTATCACTGATGTTACTACTTTGTCCCGTCATGAAAGACACCCGATAGATCCTAATTCAGCTTCTCCCCAGTACAAAGGTACCCAATGAAAATATGGGACATCCAATATGTAGTAGTACTAATTCCAAAAACAAGGATTATATGTATAAAATAAAACACTGCTTTTGACTTCTAATAGTATATAATATAGAGGCTAATTCTGAACAGCAGAAAGTAGACATGTGTTGACTGCATCCTTATTCAGCCGTGAAGGATATAAAGCACAAGGAACACAACACGGAGCGGGTTAGAATGGGCACTGCAGCCGAGAAAGAGGACATATTTTGAGAAGTGTTGCCATAGCAATAACAACACACATCGTGCCACTAAAGCAGACTTTGAAATTTGACAAATTCAGACATCCAGACAAATGGAAATCTAGGAGATCTGCACATTTCAAAATCCTGTCACACCTGAAGATGTGAACAAGGCTCAACATCCAAAAAGAGAATCCCCATTATAAAACTTGTCGCGTACTATATTCTTCTTCCCAGCCGTAAAGCCCACAGTCTGATCTGAAGCTCAAGAGAGACACTGCTCATTTACAAAATGCCCTTTAGCCAGTTTTGTACAATTTTTGTACAGCCAGGCAGACAGCCCCTGAACAGACTTCTCATTGCTGAACTGAGCTGAACTCTAAAGTGACCAAGTTTCACAATTAACAGCACACTTCAGCATCAACTTGAGACGAAGAAAATTCCTGCACATTTCCTAGCTCTAACATTACTCCAACACTCAAATATTGAACAGAAAGATTCTCATGACAATGCAAGGCTTTTGGAAATTAGGGAAAAGAATCTGAAACTCTAGCCTTGCATTACAGCCCTCCTTATGTTCTATACTCACCGGAACAGGAAGGGTAAAGAGTTAATACCAAGTAGTTACTAATGTCAACCTTACTTTTCACACTGTGTGAATGTGTGCCCTTGTACTGAGGATAGGTATCATTTGTGGACCCTACAAAGCTGACTTATTAAAAACCAGAGGATACAGAGGACTGTGTTCTCTTTAGTTCACCTCTGCTGTACTTTTTTCAGCTGTCTCAGCAGCTACACAAGATTGAATGCAAGATATACTTACTGCAAGTAAGTTCATTATGGTATGCCCCGTCTCTCTGAACAAAGACTTTCGGAATCTCAGACTTATCAAAGTGCAGGGATAGACTGTAAGATACAAAGACAAAAAGTTATTCAAGCATTTCTAGAATGATTAGTAACATTGGAAAGGTTCATGCATGGTAGGATTGGGTTAATAATAATGGGCATATTTCCTGATAGAATGGGGAGGATGTGCTGGCTATGTTCTAGTACGGAACATATGGTGTACAGAAGATGAAGAGGGGAAGAGGTAGCATTATGTAACAAAAACAATATTCAGGCTTAGGTACTAAACCTAGAGGAAACGAGAAACCCACGATGGACCAGACTTGCAAAAAAATCACTCTGTATTTATAGTGTTGGGGGAATGCCACAAACCACCAAAAGCAGATGCAAATTATAATTCAATACTGTATAATTAAGATTTTTCTTTCCAATGGCAGTTGGGAGTGAAGAACGGAAGGCCACAGTTTAAACAGATTCTGCTTGGAGCACAAAACAGATTAATCCCCAAGAGTGAGGAAATAAAAAGCTAAAAAACAGTTTATGAAATGATTAAAAATCAGCAGGACCCAAGTGAAGAAAATGAACACAATAAATTGTAAGCACAGGCAAAAAAAAAAAGGAGATTAACGAGAAAGGGAACGCAAAGGACAGAGCAAATGTATTCAGGACAACAAAGGCAAATTTCTAGACACCGAAAGGGATGACTGAAGTACTTAAATAAGCATTTCATTTCGGATATTCACCAAAGAAATCAACAACATACCTAACAGAGTTCTGCATTCAGTAATAGTATTAGAATAGGAGAGACCAAAATATTCCAGGTAATAGATGAACTCAAGATTAACAAATCTCCAGTGTCCAATTATATCTACCAATTGTACTAAAAAAAGAAAATATAATATGCCACTGATTTTGTTCTTCTAACAAGACAGGGATAGTACCATAGACTGGAGAATTGCTCATGTAGCTCCCATCTATAAAAATAGACAATACCGATCCAAGTAATTAGAAATCAATAAGTCCGACTTCTAATATATGTGAGGATATGGAAACAATTATCAGAAGTAAACTAGAGAATTTTCAGCCTCGAAAAAAGATCCTGGGGAATAATCAATACAGGTCTTGGTGACCTGTATTGACCATATACAATTTCTTGCATTAGGAATTTGTCTTTTCACATACCCCAGCTTGCTCTCTATGAGAGACACAGACAGGGAGAGAAGCTGAGGGTCAGAGCACAGGGTCCGCCATTGTACAGCGCCCCTGGAGCAGCTGGGGTTAAGGGCCTTGCTCAGGAGCCCAACGGAGTAGGATTCCTCTGCCGGCTGCGGGATACAAACCGGCAACCTTCCAGCCACAGACACAGATCCTGAGCCACAGAGCCACTGCTCCACCCGAGCGGTGAGCTCTTTGAACAGGCAACAACAATAACAGATACTGTACATACAGAGCATACAATTAGGTATATTTATAGCATATTTTGATCAAGTTCCACATAGAAGGTTAATTTTCAAATAGCAGCCAGGAGGCATTCAAGGAAATCTGTAATTGATTTGAGAACTGGAGTCCAAAGAGCAGAGAAAACGGATTAAGGCAGAATGCTCAAAACAGCGAACGGTTCTGGCTGTTTTTGGCTCACCTTTGTACTCAGCCCCCAGTCGCAGCAGTAGGCGCAAGGGGAATACTTTGGCCCAGGGCACCTCCAGCTTCTGGATGAGCACCCCAAACAAGAAAGGGCTGGAGGGCAGTGGGAGACCCTCCAGAGGCTGGAAGCTGGGTGAAATGAAGAGGAATCCTCCATGGTCTTTACTGCCCAGGAAACTCTCCGTGAATGTTACGTTGCCCAGGTTCTCCACAAATGTTCCTGAAGGATGAGATGAAGATGGGAAAATCGATCTGAAATTTCATTTTACAATACTTTGCCCTTTGTCAACATTATGAATTAAAGACAGGCGTTATGTCCAACAAGAACAGGTACAAGTAGTTAATTTTTAAGAATAAGTAATAGTTAAAAAAAACATTCAAAACACATGTGGAGAATGAACAGGACTAGGAAGGGTCATCTTGACAAACCACATAGGTTCCCAGAGCATGGCATGGTGTTTTTTAAGCTACATGTTAGGAATTACTGTATTCGGACTAAATTAACTTCTGGTATGTACTGTACAAAACTTGACATCAATGTTCATGAATTTCACACCTGCCATTCTACAATCTTCTTACATAAATGCTCTTGGTTAATGCTGCCATTTTATTTGAGCAAGTTACAAATCAACAGAGGTTACAAAGAAAAATAAGTGAAAACAGGCATCATGAACCTTTATTGTTTCAGTTTTACAAGTCTGAAATGACAAGCTATACTGTTCCTTTAAAATCCCTCTGTCCACAGGGACATAACTCACATCAGGGGTGACAAATAAGATTTCAGTGTCACTGGTCCAACATGCAGAAATTAAATAATCAAAACAGAAGGCAATTACATTCCGACACTGGCAGTGTGAAGGAGTCGATTTAGCCTGACACCCAATGATAATCCTTTACCATTAATCCACTCCCTCACTGGCACTCCAATGATCCTTTACCTTTCTGGGCATCCTGGTACATGATGATGTAGAGCCTGAAGATGTCTTTGGGCAGAGTGTTCTCGTCTGGGAGGCACTGCAGCAAGATAACTATCTCCGACTGGCCTACGCCCTGAAGACCATTGGAGCTGAAACACCAGCACTTTCGACCACCATCTGCAGCATAGGGCACACAACAAAAGGGGAAAACAAATAAGGAACGAGGATGCACCATGTTGTTTCTTCAAAATACCAGAAAGAAGAAGAACCCACAGTGGTTGGCGGTGGGATGCATGTATTCACTACTCTCTGACCCCTCTCAAAACTGCATTTGCAGCTGGAGTTGGATATCTCTCCTCAAGAGAAGCAACCTACAATGAAAAGGTGTAACTTGACTGACAGATTTAGGTCACCTTTTCGACACAGACCCAGGATCAGTAACTGCAGGACCAGAGCTGCCTAACATATACGTGAACACACAGAAGAAATGGCAATCCATCCATTTCCAGGCTGCTTTAAGCACATGTCTGTTTCAATTATGATGGTAATGAAACAGGCACCTAACCTTTGCAAAAAGTTTTTAAAGACAGGACATTATCTTACATTAGGATATTCAAACACTGTAATTTTAAACATGTCAGTTAGAAATACAAAACTTCAATGTTAAGAAATACATACTTGACGATATGCATAGTGTTATACTGTTAATCAAAGACCTAAATTTAAATATAATCCTCACTTGACGATAGCAATGGATGGAAATTGCGGTTTTAATAGGTGCACCAGGTGTTTTCCAGTGAAATCATCCTTACGCTAGTTCCAACAAACTGCCCCCGCCATCGTGAACACCGAGACTTTTAAAGTCGTTAACCACTTCACAGATAAACTGTTCAGAACAAACCAGCAGTAGAGCCTGTTCAGGTACCTCACACGTTTCCAGTTGTGGCTGGCTTCCTGCTTTTAACCTTTACATCAAATTCGTGTTAGGGTCACACACAATGTCACATTTACTTAATGTATATGGCTGCTGGCTACCATAACGGCCAGTAATTGCATTACAACAGACTACACCTTTAGCACCCGCAGCCTCTGTCAAATCTGTTTTTCTGTCTCTTTTAAATGGGCACAGAATTGATTTAGTTGAAATCACTTACTTAACACACTTAAGAGAAAGAGATGAATTGCTTGAAAGCAAAATAAACAGTATTATTAAATCTAGCACTTAAGATTTTGACAGGTTTGTGGCTATTTTCATTATTAACCAACATAACATTGTAAGGATGGAAATATGTAAAACGGTGGTACACGTTCCGTCACCTCATTCTGTCATGCCACTTTCCTCATTTCGGTTTGTCGTTTTTTTACAAATTTCCAAATCGCCATGTGCCAAAACTTCGACCGGACGATTGCAATCTAGACATCTGTTAAATTTAGATAGTTGTAAGTAGGAATGTGGCCAAACAACCGAAATGTGAGGCGGCCAAGGGCCAGCCCAAATCAGTAAACCATCGACTTCTGAGGGCTTCCTAACCTCAAACCAAAAATCTCCCCCAGCAACTGGCCAGCTCGTTTTCCTAAATATGACAGGAAAGGTATTCCAAATCGTCTTTATTGAAAGTGCTTCACTTAACAAGATGCAGGAAAGGCAAGAACATTAACTGCATCCCTATGATGAGGACGATATTTGTACTAATGCATTCACTGACAAGGGAACATGGGTAATCTATCAGTGTGATACATGAGGTGCAAGCAGCAATGAAGAAAAGTCTAGAAACACCTTGCCATGTTATCTTTGACACAGTCCTACTTTATGAACTGGTGTCAGAGCATAACCCTAGAAAATGATGTTCTTACAAAAGAATTGAGAAATTCATGTGAGAATGAATAATTTATTCTTTCAAAAGGGCTTGGCAGGCTGTGGGTTAGCGAACATCATGGTGGGCACATTTACAGATTAACTATGAGGGTCTCGGACCAAAGGAAAGGCAAGCGTTACTTACAGGAGACTGCTTTGACATTGACCAGAAGGTTTGCGTTCAGAACAAAGGTCAGAGGTCGTGGTCCTCCTTCCTCCAGCAGCAGCAGGATCTGGCCGGGAGAGGGAAGTTCCTCCACTAACGGGTCTGCATTTACAAAACAAACAGTCTTTTCACCACAAACCCCTCTGGCGTACACAGCACCAGGAAAAACGTCAAGGCACAAAACTAACTGAAACATAATGAAAAACCTAAAAACCTAGAAGGTTCCAAAAAAGTTTTAGCTAGGAATAGATCCTTATTATTATTTCATCTCCAGCCTCTATTTCTATTCCAGTGTTGTATAAAACACAAATACGAAATAGACCTCTTTGATCGCTGAGCTTGTAGCATAGTAAACAAGCATGCAATTCTTACAACTAAGGATTGAAACATAACGTGTTTTTGCATCGATAGCTTAGGAAGAGTTAGAACCAAATGCCAGACACTAAATGAATGCTGTAAGTGAAGAGCTGATGTACTGAAGGTCGCACAGGTCTTACTCTCTTGCACAGGCATTCGAGAGTCTGTTCTGCGCAAGCCCTGTCTGCAGCCTCACCTCCTCCCTGCTCTCCTGTGGCTATTAGCAGGGGAGGCAGGCCCTCCTCATCATCCGGGAGCAGGCTGTCCGCCTTGGTCACACAGCTCCCCACGGCACAGAGCAGGCTGTAATCCCAGGGCCCACTGACAAGGGTCCTGCTGTCTCCTGGGCCATCAGGAGTCCCACTAAGAGGACTCCCTGCATCACTAGGGGCCTGCTCTGGCCCGGTTGCTCCGGCTTCCGCATCATCACCCAGCAATGCAGCAGCAGGTCCTTCCTGTTCACTCTTCACCTGGGACTGGGAAAGGAGACACTTCATTACACGCCACAACGGAGCAAACATGCAAATGTGTAAATAGGATTGAAAAGATCTGAGGCTTCACGCAAAGCTTCTTTCAAGAAGGCCCTTGATAATTAAACCAGAACTGGAGAAGTAAGAAGATTAACAAAGGCGATTTTGTTCTACTACCTCTGTCATTTTATTATGACCAGTACAGCATGGACAACGGCCTAGCAGAGAAGACGTTTATTCAGTATCCCCTGCATACCGTTTAGCATTCTATCACACCTCTAACATCAAAAGTGCTGCTGGTTTTACCAAATTTGTATTCTGAAAAGCTTAAATTCTATGTATACATAGCACACTTTTATACAAAGGGTTGTGATCATCTAGAATAAGTACCAATGTCATGTTATTGAAGCCCATGCCCTGGCTTCTTTAAAGCAACAACTGGTTGAGATCTTTGGATTCTGTAACTAAGAACCGAATGAACGAGTCAGGGCGAATACCCCCCTTTCTGAGAGTGGCTCCCCACCGTACAAATGTACAAATTCCCTGACCCTGTTTACAGGATGGACTGTTCATGACCTGGAAATTGAATTTCCATAAGATTTAATAAAAATAGGAGGTCACATTAAGGATATTTAGAGTAGCCTAGAGCCCCTTATCCTTGAAAAGGCACTATGGAAGTTGTAAAACCATTTAAATCAATGCCAGAGTCAGAAAGTGTGCAGAAATTAGCATGCATTTTAAATAGTAACAAATCACTATGTTGGCTGATATGCAAATACCTGATGCACTACAGTACAAAGCAGCTCTGCGGTTCACCCGTTTTATGTGAACATGCAAATGTTGGTAAGTAGCGGAGCGCCTGTATAGTGTCAAGTAAAACACTCTCACTTTAAAAGGCTCATTTATTATACACAAAGCAAAGGCGAAGAACACACTATGAACACAGCAGTGCAAGCAAAAACCCCAAAGTGCTAATTTTCCTCCAGAAGAGCCACATGCAGAACGGAGGAGTAGTGTCTTACCACTGGGGGTTCTGGTGTTGAAGGGCTGGGGTCCTGGGAGGATCTCTTACTTCCAGCAGAGAGCTTAGTTGTGTCCGCAACTTCTCCATTTGGCAAAATACCATCGGCAAACCACACTCGCTTCTGTTCCCTGGGAAATCCTGCAGTAGGATCAAAAGAAGAGATTAAAGGGGACAAACCATCAAAAATCTACTCTTTCAGAGAGGACTGTTTGCGATTATCTTCTGTGCCGGATCTGTTTTCTTAGTTTTGTAATTTTCTTCCATCATCATAATTCCTTACACTTATATAGCACTGTTCAAGACACTCCACTCCAAGGACTTTACAGGTACTGGGGACTCTCCTCAACCAGCAGCAATGTGCAGCCCCACACCAGAAAATGCAAAGGCAGACAAAGTGCGCTAGTTCGCTCACCACACATCAGCTATCGATGAGGAGAAAAACAGAGCACTGAAGCAAATTCCTAGAGATGGGGATTATTAGGAGGCCATGAATGATAAAGACGAGGAGGAAATTTGGCCAGGGCACTGGGGTAACACTCCTACTCTTTTCAAAAAACACCCTGTGATTATCAATGATGGAGAGTCATTTTGAAATGCGGGATTTACATCTCATCTGAAGGACAGTGCCTTTTGTACAGTATAGTGATCTCATCATTAGAGCCCACACAGACCGCAGGGCGAGCGTTCCCTACTGGTCCCACAAACACAAGATATTTGTTATATATGAAATGTGTTTTTCCATATATAGCAAAGCACTTTGAGGTGGTTTCTTTTAAAGGCTTACAGAGTGCAAAATAGAAAGTGGGTCTGCTAAGCTCATTCTGTATGGGATTGGGGGAGGGGTGGACAAGTGATGTGATCCATATTGATCTGATTTCAAATTGGCTAGGTATTATCTATAAAGAATAACCATTATTAAATTGGATGTGTCATCCAGACTGTTAGGTAATGAATGATCGAAAAAATGTAAGGACTGAAAAGGAAAAGGCAATATCTTGCAATTCATAAGATCTCTCTCTCATAGCTTCCTTTCCATTTTATGCAACTGCTGCTGGTTTGAGGCACATGGCCCCTTCTGGACTAACAGAGAGGCAGAAGAGCAGACTGCAAGGTTACCTTCGCTTCCTGGGTGCTTGAGCACGGAGACGGGCACCATGACAGTAGGCGGAGGGGAGTTGAGGGTCCCAGCGGCACGAGCCTGCTGCAGGGGTGGGATGGTGGAGCAGTACTCCGAGGGCACATTAGGGTTGGGGCTGGGGCCCGTGGGGCTCATCATCCTCTCGAAGGCCTGAGCTATAGGGGAGGAGGTCATCATCAGGAGGGAGTGCAGGCCTGGAGCCCGGAACAGCTGCCCAGCCCAGGGAAAGAGGGAGCGTGGCTCTCTTCCCTCTTCGCACAGACTCACCACGCACAGTCACATGCGCCATGCTGGCAGCTCAGTTCTTTTTTCTGTTACCTATTGTTCACTTCCTTTTCTGCGTGGCCCATTGCCGACAGAGCTGCAACGTGATTATTTTGTTGCTGCAGTGTGCGGCACCAGAGAGCTTTAACTCTAGTTACAAATGTATGCACAGTGCTGGATCAAATAAAAACAATCTGTTACTCTCACAAGCTACTACCACGAGCTATTTTCGTTTTTCCGCCATCTTGCCATACAATTTGTTTTCCGAAAAGAGCCATTAAAACCTTCTATCACTGCGGTGCCTTCTGCCTTCTTCTGACCGGACAGGAGCAGAGACAGACTGCTTGGTTTGGCTGTGTCTGGTGGGTACAAGTCTCTCATAGACAAATTAACTGGCTAAAAGAACAGGGGCTCACTATACTTTAGTTCACTATACTTCAGTTCCCTGTGCTCAAACTCAAGCTCAAGCTATAACACCACAATCAGAATGGATTCTATTGTAAGGTGCGATGGATAAAGGCATCAACTAAATGAATACTATCAATACTGACATTGTTACACTCAGGCCACCAAACCAGGAAAATTAAATCGGCAATTCAGAACGAGTTCGGCAACACTAAGCAATAGGATGGGTCTCAGCTGGAAAAAGAAACCAGCCCAACGGCTGAAACGGGAAAGCCACCTGACCACAGTGTGCTGAGCATGAACATACGCACTGGCAGCCTCGGCCTGTGCTCAGCAACTGATCTCGACATCAAAGGCTGAAAAACCTCTGGAAAAACATGCAGGAACAAACAGCCTTTTCATAACTAGCCAACATCCCAGTTAACGCACTCACATCCCAGTTTACCTTCAAGTCCAGTGAGCAGAACTAATTTGCGTCCTTCAAAGCCTTCTTTACTAGTGAGGCAGACAAAACTCTTAATGTTGTGCCGATACAACTGTGCCGTTTCTGCCCCGGCTGGCGGTTATATTAAGACAGCTCCAGTTTTTGAGGGACATGAGCTTCCTGTGTAATGGCTCCGATGCATCTCTGATTGTGGTCTGCTGCTGTTCCTGAGCAGGAGCTAGTGCAATCCTTGAGCGCACACTGTGTCTGAATCACCGCCTGAGGCCGACATAAGAGACAACTTCTCTTGTTCTTTTCCGTTTTTGAATCAAGACACTGTTTTCAGAGCTTCCAGTCATTAAGTAGCTTGTCACACTGCCAGCATGCACGCAGAAAATGCTTTCACAATCACATGATCAGATTAAATGCCAGGTAAAAACCACATGGTACACAGATATTTAATAAAGACAAAAGCTGTTTGTTCAGGAGGCTGTATACAAACAAGGAACAAGCAGTATAAATATGGAGAGAATCATATTGTATTTTAAAATTTAAGCAAAATACAGCCTTTAAAATACTACACCTTCTAAAATGATTACAATGAGATAATATCAATTGTTTTACATTTACACTGACACAAACTATACATTACTCTACAGACTAACAAAAAGACACCCCAAAACTGTTCGAAAAGCAAGATGATTGCTGCTGCAATTTTCCACATGACACAAAGCTTCAAAGCAAATGTAAGTAGGAGAAAGGCAGCACACAGTGTAAAGGATGAAGAATAATTTTGTACTCTTCTAAGTACAGTACGAAGAGATTACTGAGAAGTGCAGAGTTACCCTTATCTAGAAAGCTAAGTAAAATGTTAAAATTTTAGAGCTTTGCCAGCATTCTGGATTACTGTCTGACGATTTATACAATATTGTATAAACCATCACATTAACGATATCATGTCAAAGTTGTAAATGCATGCAACAAGCACAACACATTTGGTTGAAACCCTAGGTACACAGATACACCTGTCTTCGACAGCAATCCTACAGCAATTCTTACTGATCAAAGTGGAAGGCCTATTGGTCTTTTGGTGAGGTTTTAGGGTACTTGACCTCTTCTTGGGCTTTAAACAGCACCTTTATAAAAATTAGTACCCATGGGCAGCATGAGGGTGTGGCGGTTTAACGCTGTGGTTTCACATCTTTTGGCTCCTGGTTTCATCTTGGAATGCCTCCTGCTAGGAGTCTGCAAGTTCTCCCTCGATCTGTTCAGGTTTTGCTAGGTGTTGCAGATTCATCCCCATTCCAAAGACATGCCGACAAGTTTGGGATCTCTAAACTGCCCCCAAGTTTCTCAGCTCTAACGGATGTACTATAACAAATACTAGAATACATTCCAATATTATAGCCCAGAAAACATCCTAATACAAAAAGCAATTTTCACCTTTCTGGATAACAACTACCTGTTGTTGAAAAAACCTGTTGTTGTTTTTTGCACACTGCCTGTTGTCTCCATCTTTCTTTTGCTACACAATTGCATTATTGTTGTTGTTTTTTCTCTTTGTACTACTTATGTCCGAGAGCTAGCTAAATAGCATTTCGTTATACCATATACCATGTATATGAGTGTAATGACAATAAACTTGAACTTGAACTACTTGACAGCAAGGGCAAGCAGAATAAATGCACAGCCTCTCTCCAACTCATTCCTGTTCTTCTCCTCCTGCCAAAACAGATCTCAACAACCACACCACCAGTTCAGGCATCTCTACTGACACCTCATCCACAAATACATGCTGTTCCCATGATATAACAGAAGATTAAACAGGACAAGTGTGCAAATTTATTTTGCTTATGCATGTCCATTTTACTACTGGGTATTCCATGAGAATCCGATTTTAAATTAAAAAAACAAACTCTTTTACTACGCTAATCTAAGACTGAACCTGAGCTGCATTAACTGATAAATATCAGGCTACAATATTTAGAAATAATGCTCATTTGGCCTCAAAGATAAACCTTTCAAACACACAAATGTCCATAAACAGAATATTAGCATTTACACACACAGCACCCTCCAGTTTTCATGTTACTAGTCTGATCTAAACCAAGGCCACAATTACACCAAAGATTTCAGACTCCCCATTATTTTTTCTCCGATGTTTATACACAAGCTGCAGGCATTATTTTTGTTTTAAACCAATATCCCTCTTGAACTGCATCATGTTGTTGGCTCCGGCTTTAGCCAGAAAAACCCTTCAGTGCTTTCTCACAGCAAACTAATTGCCAATCCATCTTTCATGTGAAAAATGTTCAGTTTCATTAAGTATTTCTATGTCTTTAACGACACACCTCACACTCTTCAAAACTAACACCACTTGCTTTACAACTAATGCCAGCAGCCATATCACCCTGCAACTCACACTGGCAGCCCACTGAAGCTCAGCAGGTGTGAGCCTGGTCAGTACCTGGATGGGAGACCTCCTGGGAAAGACTCAGGCTGCTGCTGGTGAGGTGTTAGTGGGGCCAGCAGGGGGCGCTCACCCTGCTCTCTGTGTGGGTCCTAACGCTCCAGTATAGTGACGGGGACACTATACTCTAAAATGGTGCCGTCGTTCGGATGAGACGTAAAAGCGAGGTCCTGACTCTGTGGTCATTAAAAATCCCAGGGTGTTTCTCGAAAAGAGTAGGGGTGTTACCCCGGCATCCTGGCCAAATTTCCCATTGGCCCTTACCAAACACTGGCCAGGCAGGTTACCTAACCCTCAGTTGCAGACCTTCTATCATACAACTGGATTAGCTCCTAAAATCAATTAACTACTAACAACTAAATAAGCTAGATGCCGCAAATGGCTTCCTCTCGTTTGAAACCGTATGTTTCCATTTTAAATGCATGTATCCATATTGAAAGCAAAGCACCAAGATACATTCCCCACTGATAGCTGGTGTGTGGGGAGCGTTCTGGCGCACTATGGCTGCCGTCGCATCATCCAGGTGGGGCTGCACACTGGTGGTGGTGGAGGGGATCCCCATTACCTGTAAAGAGCTCTGAGTGAAGTGTCCAGAAAAGCGCTATATAAGTGTAAGCAATTATTATTATTATTATTATTATAGCTCTCCAGCTTCAGGCTGCCAATGATTAAGGTGAAGTCATATCCTGGCACTTCAGCATTCACAGGAATTTCATCACCGAAGTTCAAAAACCAGAAAAAAAAAACATTTTCTGTGTGATGTTTCCAAAAGCAGAACACCTTAGTAAAATATTCATTGCTTCTTATACATTTTGAATAGACCCAAATGCTGTCGTTATGTAATTTGCCATCGAGGGTTTTTGCTCACTCCCAAGACCTCGGTGTGGGATGCCTGCTCAGTTTAATTGGCATTCAAATACCCTCTACGTTTTGGGGGGCTCCGGTGTCCCTGTCCAGGGGAAGGCAGAGGTGCTTCAGGGATGGGCCCTGGCTTGCTGCACCAGCACAGGTGACTTCCCAATACCGGATGAAAGGATGGTTTGCATTTTCTTCTAAGTGGTCATTTACAAAAATGTGTATTTTATTTTCACTCTTAGACATACGGTAACTATCAAAAGTTATTTTTCTGTTTTATAATGAATTTAGGAATTATACTATACTATAGAATTTTGTTTTCACTTAAGACATTGTAGGGGCGGTTTGTGTCGATCCATGACAAAACATCCCAACATTCTGATTCTATATTGTAGAAATATATATATATAAAATGGGACAGCCACTGTGATAAGCCATGGCTGGAACTTGAGTGATAAAAAATGCTGAATTTGTTTAAATGCAAAAACATGGCTTTTTACGTCAGATGTACAGAATGTACAGGCTTTCACTTACTGCAGCTTTTGCACTAGTTTCCAAAACCCAGTTTTGAAAGCACATTTTCTTTTTGCCATGACATGCGTGATATCAAGAATTAAGCTGGATAATTCTAACAAAAGGTCCACCCGCCATTATTGTTATGTAAGAACAATCCTTCATCAGGCTAATTTCACGAATCACTACGAAACAAATACGAATGCAGGAACGCAGCAGTAGGCAACATGCACTATACATGCACTATACAGAAGAGCACAACACAGCTCCAGGCTGTAACATGGACATGGTTCATTCATCATGACAAATTACCTGAACTATAATAATGCAATCAGCAGAGGTTTACAGGAGTTAAGCTACAGTAGCTGCCTAAGAAACCGTAAGAGTACCTTTAACTTAACAATGAACTAATTCTGTTTGTTACTTAACAATTCATTAAGTAATCATAAGAACATAATTCAAAGAGGGAGTCCCTTAGGCCACGTTGAAAACATTCCACTCCTTCAATTGTTTTTAAATTTTAGGGTCTATTATTTTTATAACAAAAATGTTCTGGGTTACTTCCCCTTCTCCGAATTTACCTTGGGGTAACTTTTACCATGGAACCTGAGACAATGCTGAGAGTTCAGAGTGAAATCACTTACAAAGAAAAGCCGCCTCATCTGCACTTGATAAAAGAGGGCAATCCCACCCTGAGGGTAATTTCTGACCCAGCAGCAGGCCGAGGGGCCTGGGGCAAAGAGGAGTGATTAATGAAAAGGAAAACTGGTGCAAGCCTGGAGAGTCCACAGAGACCTCCTCCATCCACAGGCTTGGATTCGAGGCGCTCAGAGACGTCTTCCTGGCAGCTAGGAAAAGAAGCCTAACAAGCTATTTCTGGTAAGGCATCCATTTAATTAAAGACTAATGACCCAGGAGAATCACACGAGAACACTAAAACTAAAGCGAGCTGGGACATGCAGGATCCGATACTGCTTGTGAAGTAAGTAAAAATGTTCATTCAATGTTCAATCTCATGAATGGAGTTTTAAATATTACTTTTTGTATTTTTATTTTATGGCAAAGGACTTAAATAGTTCAATGGATTAAATATCACCCGTTAATTCCCAAACTGAACAGGACAGTTCCGTCTTTAACAGACTTTAGCACACTGGGGGCATTCACAGCTGGCTTAGGCACCCATCGGCACATGGACACAAGCATCCCTTAACAGCAGATACTTACAAAAACATTACAATCAGGAAAATCAGGCACTTCTCTACAACAGAAATGTGGGAAGATTAATATGGCATTAGAAAAAATTAAAAAGCAGATTTTAAAAGCTTACAGGAACTTAACAAACCAATAAGACTTAATGCATGCCAAACATCAAAGAAGTGATTCTGCACTAAAACGTATGGTTTGCCACAGAACATGAGGCACCAGATTGCAGAAATTTAGGTCTACTGCTACCGTCAAAATTCCAACACATCTGAGGACCTTGCAGCCTCCCATAGAAGAGCGGGCTCCATTTCACATAGATCTGCAAGGCATACTATTGACCCAGAAAGGCAAGAGGAGGAAAGAAGCCAGTAACAGTGAAAAGTGGTTATTTTTATCCTCTCATCCATCATCAGCAAGCATCCTATCCCGGTGAGGGCTGCAGCAAGCCAGAGCCAATCTTAGAAACAATACAGCACGAGGAAGAAGCACACATCTGCACACAGTTTATGCAGGCTAAAACATAAGAACAGCTACAAATGAGCGAGGCCATTTGGCCCATCAAGCCCAGTTGATAGCTAGCAGCTAATGGATCCGTGGGTGTCAATCAGGTGCTTCCTGAAAGAAACCCAGGTATCAGCTTTAACATAACTGATGTGTAGCTTGTTACAGACTCCCACAACCCACTGCATAAAGACGTGCTTGCCTCCTATTCTTGGTTTTTAAACACACAGTTTAAGCTTAGTTTCAACACTTGTGGCTTCTGATTCTTGTTTCACTGTCATTCTGAATAAAATCTGCTGGGCTGCAAATGTTTATCTCCTTCACAACCTGACAATGTAGGAATGCAACTATAGAGGTATGAATACTGGCGCTGTTCATTATAAGAAATAAATCTGCCAAGATTGCAATTATTACAACGAAGATTGACATTCCCCTGCCCAAAAAATGGTTACAGTTCTAAGTATTAAGTTTCTTATGATGATCAGTATCTGTCAGAATTCTACCAAGAATTGGTAGTTGTTAAATATCATCCTTGGTTTACCACACATCACATTTGTAAGATGTTAAAATGGTTTTATATGTAAAGATTATAACAGTCAATAGTGGCTAAGAAATGCATCTATAAACAGCTATATTCCTGTACATTTAAAACAAAAATGCAAAACTGATATTGGATTCATGTGCTGGACTTGCAAGTCACATTTTAAACAAAACTAAAAAGCCTTCATTATTGACCACTGCATCAGATCAGTAACATTGTCAGAGTGAGTTCTGCTCACCACACCCTGACAGGACAGACAAGAGACACTGACAGCCAGCTGCACTAGAACAATGCAAAGTGTGCCGTCATGGTGCAGCATCAGATGTAGGCAGGCTTTAGGTAATTAACATTTCAGAATACTTCACTGGTTGAATTTCTTTAAAACACTACTAATTTCTTTATAACATGAACAACACAGGGTGTTCTGGCTTTCAATCCCAACACTTCATAAAACACTTGGACTCATCATCAGTAATGCTGATGGTCCACGGAGATATAGCATAAAACGTGCTGGACTGTAATCACTTAATGTAAGGATTACGCAAGCCTACTACAGTTTATCACACGTTTCCTGATCTTACGTTTCCCATCATCAAAAGCAATTTTCAGCTACTGTGTTGCTGAATCATCTCTCAGCTGATCCACGCAACCCTGCCAAAGCTAATAGAATCAAACCTCAAATATATTCCAGGCAACCGCAGCACATAAGGGTGTTTCGGGTTCAGAGCAGGTGTGTCTTTTTCATCTGCCACAAGTAAAGGGAAAAGATTCCAGGCTACAGGTCAAGAGGTTTCACCACAGCAGGCATAGACTGACAGCCTCCATCTCATGAAGCGCTGAGGGAAGGTTTTCTGCCAGCTCAGGTCACTGTTAACTACTGACCGACTGACGAGGCAGAAAGCTTGTGAATAACAGCCTGGCACACAGTCAACACAGCAAGCCTGCTGCATTGCACTTCAGACCATCACTGACACTGGCGATTCCTGCTGTTTCTCCCACAGCACTGCTCTGCTTGGAGGTTTAAGAAGCTGGTACTCACCTTTATGAATGGTTTCATAGCACGCAAGACAGACTCTGGCTTCCTTCTCCAGATACTTGAGCTTGCATTTCCTACTGCAGCACCCTGCACAGAACACCTGGGAAGACATCACAAACACACACATGCATGAGTCAATTCTCCACCTTCACCTCCTGCCAAACTGCCTGCATTGACCACAGCAGTTAACCTTTGTTCTGGAGTTTTTCTAATATACAACATCAGAACAGAGTAGTGATTCTTACATTTTGGGCAGCATTTGATGTGGAAAACTAAAAATTACACTGAGCCTGCTTAAGGCAACAGACACACACGAAAAGCAGAGAGCTTAAATAAAACGTATACAGCTGCGCCCATAGTTTTGTTAAGAACAGACACAATGGTACTATTGATATTGAAATCACACCCCTTTTCTTTTTGTACCGCCATCACTACAGAGGTCAAACTACATACTGAAAACAAATGAACTCATCTATGATTCATAGCTGCACTTGCAGCTCTGTATTTCGACGCCTGGCAGAGCTCAGACACGAATAGGAAGCATCCTGGGGGAAACCTGGTCACAGTCAAGTCAACTCATGACATTCCAGAGACCTGGGCTTTTTATACTGGCACAACAGAGCCGATCCAAGCTGGGCCTTCACGGGCCTGGTACGACTTCATTTACAGCGGCTGTTCAACGAGCCGAGCCAGACCCAAGGTACGAGCCCGAGCAGGGCTGTGAGTGAGTGGTGTGACCACATCTTGCAGTCGTAGAACACTTTTAAGGGAGAAGAGCAAACGCAGCTTTCTTTTTGAGTTGGTTTAAGACCATGTTACGAGGTTTCGGGGAATCAGAAATATGCTTTGAAGAATTTCAACAGCAAGCGCTCAGGCATGAAAAGGTACTCCAGCTGTGTGCCTGTAGAAATTGAGTTAAATAGGAGCCCCCACCTTTTTTTGTCTGTTTCAAATGAACTCATTCCGGATAAAAAAAATAAGCGGATAAAATAAATAAATCCAGGAATGGAAGAGTTTCTGATTAAATCTTGTATTCGTCCAAGTCTGATTTCAGCGCCTTACTGCTCGCGAGATTGCCTCGACAGCAGTGATCCCCAAACTGTCAGCGCAGACTGCATACAGGCAAGAAAAATCACCTGCTGAGTCAAATACTTTTTTAAATTGGCATCAGGAGAGCAAGGCTAGTTAACGTGGAGAAATAAAGCAACACAAACAGCAAGCAGCAGTCAATGAAAGCAAAGCGAAACAGCTTCAACACCCCATGCGTCAAGAAGAAATACGATTAATGCATCAAAACCCATCGGCAAGATTTATAACTCTTACAAGTCAGGCTTGCAAATTAGAATGAACTTTAAAAAACTCAGTCACATTAAACCTCATCTGAAAATTTTTCTAAAACTCGTAAATCTACAATGTCACCTTAACATTTATTAAGAATAATAAGATCATATAGTTCCACTTCCGATGAAAGGACTTGCGACTGAACTTTTTTAGGGCTCCAGTGACCTGAGGCACATATATAAAAATGTGCTTAAAAACATACTTCAAAAATCTATGTTGAACTACATTTAAAATGCATTAGCAAGAATGGTACTATTCTGGTATTACAGACTCAAAAGCAAAGTGATTAACCCCAAACGTGCCCAACTAATAACTCATGTTTAGCGATGAGAGGATGTTCTTTGGATTGCACAAAACTCCACCGTCAAAGAAATTAACAAGAGCAAGACAAAAACACTCAGCACAGAGACTGGCTTCACGTGAAAAAAGGAAATTAAAACTCAGACGTACTTTTCCACATGCTCGGCAGTGATGCCTCCTCTTGGTGAAGGTGAACCGCTGGCGGCAGTTCATGCAGTTCGGCGCCTCAGAATCAGGCACCCATGAAGGCTGTTTCGAGCCTAAACTGGAAGCCTCCCGGATCACCCTGTCATCTACAGAAGCAGCCTCAGCCATTACGCTGTCATCAGGATGAGAGAGGAACAGTGCAGAGTCTGAGACTTCATCAATACCCATGGTGCTTTCAATCCTTTCTGAGTGAAGATACCCAGAATTTCCTAAATACTGACTGGGGTCTGCTTCTGCAGCAGGGGACTCCATGTTATTAGGAGTAAGAACTCCAACGTAAGGTACATCCTGACTCTCACTTATTCTGTAGTCCAATTCATTTGTTAGTAAAGTTCTGGCAGGGTGGCTAAAAAGCTGCTTGGGTCTTGCCCCTCCATAGTATGGGTGGTTATCAGTGTGGTTTGACTTTTTGCCAAGAGAGCTGGCTGTGTTTGAAGACTCCCTGTGGTTACTCCCGGTACAAGCAATGTCATCTGTTAAAGAACCGTCGTTGTCCTGAGATGAAAAAGCAGGTTTCAGATCACCTTGTTCTACGGCTGAATAGGAATGGCTCGAAGCGAGCAAGGCTAACTCGCCACCTTTAGCACTGATGGCATTCCCATCTTCTTCAGCGAGACCATCATCCATATCACCTGGGGACAGGTCAGGAAATTCAGAAAGGTCTCCATTCATTTCTGAAAACCCTTCATCTGCCACATTCTTCAGGGGCTCTCCCTCACTATTTCGGGTGTTCCGCTCCATGAGAAAGGCATCCAGATCCTCATCTGTCACAAGGATGTCACCCAGGTCACCATCTAGGAGAAAGTCATCCACAAAGGCAATATCTGAGGGAAACTCAGGGCTGGCACCAACAGGGAGAGAACAGCTTTCCTCTACCACGGCAGACCCCTCTCCATCCTGAGCTGAACTGCTTTCTGCTGACTGAGAAGAGGCCATGCTTGGGATACTGGTTAATGGCTTAGTCTCAGGAGTAGCTTTGGTTTCTGACTGGAGGCTGCCACTTTCATCAGCAGACCCAGGACCAATTTGGTCCACACGGTTCGTAGCTACCTCCATTGGAGGAATAATCTGCTGAATATCAGGGACAGCAGGCACAACTTGAACTGGTGATTCACAGGTGAGAACCTCAACCTCTTCTTCGGCCTGCGACTCATTCTTCTCCAAGTCCAGGGACGCAACCAGGGACCCACACATGGACACAGATATAGGTAGACAGGACAAGGAACTATCTTTGTCTTCAGGGAGACTTGAGAAATTGCTCAAGTTATCCTGTTGTGAAGCACCACACATTTCATGGGCTAAGCTGTTGACTTGTTCAACAATGTCTTTCTCTTGGTTTCGGGAAGGAATCTGCTGTTCCAGCTCTGCACCTTCAAGAGTGATGCTGGTTTGGTTAATCTCATCTACCTCAGTATGTTGAGGAGTGCTGTTCCTAGTTTCTTCATCACCCCAGTCCCCCTGAGAATCAGTCACTGGACTGCCAATCCCAGTTCTCTCAGAGTCAGAAAGGGGTTCTCCATTATCTGTACAACTCAGTCTTGTTTCAGGACACCCATCATCCTGAACGACTGCTTCCAAAGGCTCCTCAGCTTCTAGAATGCTAGCCGACTCTGCACCCTGAGGTATATTAGCATTCTCTGCTGCAAAGATTATATCTAACAAAGTTAAGGAAGTCAACACTCCTCCAGCTGCAAGATGTCCGGCATCTTGCTCCACCAGCAATCCCTCCCTGGTAGGACAGATTTGTGCCCCAGGGATACTCTTAAGGCCAACATGTGGACCACCTCCAGAATGACATGCAGTTGTAGATTCAAGATCTACCAATAAACGTTCCTCCAGTTCCTTTTCAGCAACATCCAGCTCCTTGAAGGCGTCATGGCGACTGGCTCGCAGAACTGCAGGGCCTGTGTCACTGACCAAGTCGCACACTGGTTTCAGCGCCCTGTCTGGACACAGAGGTGCCGAGGTCTTGGCAGCCCTGCTGTCCAGAGATGACAGGAGGTCCACACCAGTCAAGGGTCTCCCACTGCACTCGGGGTCAGTGGAGTGCACAGTGAGGCCAGGAAGTGGGGTAGTGGAGCACCCTGCACGCGTACTGGGCAGACTGTTGACTGCTGACTGAGACGAAGAAGCTGCTTGAGGCTGTGATGCAAAGGCCTGACAACTGGAGGACGGAGCAGGGTAGACAGGGGCACATGGGATCTCTACTGTAATCCTGCATTCAAACTCATCTAGGAAGAAAAGAAGACAAAAGATACTTGAAATGTGTGCTCATTAATCATGCAACATGTCAATGCGCCTAAACCTTAGCCATCGGCTCAGAATGCTAATGAAGCATTCTTTGTCTCAATGCATAAACCTAAGTTAAAAACTGAGATTTATGTACACAGAAAACAAGATTACGAGAAAAATTATTTCTGAAATTACTTCAAAAAATTAACCCCCCCCCCCCCCAGAAAAATACTAATACTAATGCAGAACAAAAGAAAAACTTGTTTTACATCAACGACTCGCTGAGCATGGAAGAGCCAAAATGTTAAGCTTAAATTACAATTTCCTAAAATATTTAAAGATATGAATGTTAAATTGTCCACAATGAGCTAAACCAGAATTTATAGCCATTTAAAAAAAATACATGATTTTGACAAACTGGTACAGAAACATTCAACCATGAACACCTTGAACAATGAAAATCAAAAAAGGTGTCAGGATATCCCAGAGCAAACCATTCAGAAGCTTATCGGGTCTATGTACCACCACTTCAAATCTAGCGTTGGGTATGATCTGGCATTTACGCTGTCCGAGCACTGTCGTAATGCTGACTCTCGCGTTTCATACTGACAACATACAATCGCCCGTGATCTTGGTTGGTATCTGTTTAAAATGTTTAATTTAATCCATCCTGAATGTTGCACTGTTTCTGTCATTGGAATACTCCCAAAATAAACATGTAACAGAAATACAGCATATCTCAGTTTGATAATCACAGTCACATGCTACTAAATCAGAAACAAGAGACTGAAAAAATCTTGGACACATTACACGAAATACAAGATTGAGCTGTTTATTGCCCTTGCATTTTATGAACCCATTTAGTTTAAATAAGCTCATTTGGAAGAAAAAAAAACAATCACAAAAAACAGAACAGGATGTTTTCCCCTAATAAACACAACAATGAGGTAATCACATACAGTAGAAATCTTTCACAATGCCGATTAAAGTGCATCTATTGACACTTGAAGCACTTCATTCTGATTTTTAAGTTTTAGGAGTTTTTCCTTTTGAAAAAGAATACCATAAGTGTGCTGAAAGAGAGAGCAGATGCACATCTACATCACACACGATTTCGGCTTGCAACTGGAATGCCAGTTACATCACATGCACCTTCCTGCAGGAACACTTTGTGTTAGAAGACTGGAAGTGTTCCAGTGAGACGGAAAGGTAGCATGGCAATGTCAAACACTATTCAGAATTTAAAGAGACTAATATTGCACACTCATTCCCTTGCAGAGCGACAACCCCCCCTTTACTATCAGCAGAGATGTCCTAGGCGAGAAGAGGCTCTAACCTGAGTTCTGCTCAAAATCGTCCAGCAGCTTGTCCAGGTCGCACACGGCTGCTTTGAAGAAGCTGTCCATTCTCCCTCGGGAACACGGGCTCAGCTCAGCCCTTGAGCTCCTAGACAGAAAGAGAAACGCATTAAGGCTCACTTTTCACCTCCTGGCAGATTCTTGACTGGCTGCCAAAGGACTCTTCACGTTTTCGGCTCCCGGGAAGGAGCGATAGGTCTACAGCTTATCCCCAGCTAGGTTAACACTCAGAGGGCTAAGCTAGGTGCTCTCCAGGTGACCTCATCACGTGCAATGCCACTTTCACAACTCAATGGCACTGACTCAGACCTTGTACCATGAGGATCCTGAAAAAGCAAAGCCCATATAAATTTCATTTTTTTTTAACAAAGAATAACTACAACATAACATGTATAATAGTCAAATGTTTTGAATGCAGATGATATATTAGCGACTTATAAAGCTGAATTTAAATAACATTTTTAAATTATACATGCTGCAGACATCTCCTAGATAAGCACATATGTCTGTTAAAAACTGCAAAATCATTTTACAATAATTTTTATTTGCTTGTCCAAACTTCAGCATAACCTCAGAAAATCCTTCATTCTAAATCAGAGGTTCTTCCAGTATGCACAGGACAAGCTTCGCCCTCTGAAACGAGCTTGAAGATATCCCAGACAATTAAAATGACAAACAAAAAGGGTTTCTCAAAGCCAATATGAGTCTAATTCTTTGTGTCTAACAAACCTGACATGTCTCCAGAGTCGATGGAGAATGCAAACTTGCCAGAATTTCGGAATCACATTTGCAGAATATACATATTACTAACGGCAGTCGCATACATCTTTGAGGACTTTCAACATTACCCAACTAAGAGGGAAAGAAACCTTTTCTTTCTTTTTGGTGTTAACGCGCAAATTCACAACTTCTTTTTTTTGTATCTATTCATAGGATCTTATCAAAGCCACCGAATTATTAATGAACTAAATTCAGCTGTAGTGTAAAAAGTGCTTTGACAGCAGTTTCACAACTGCTTAAACCTGTTCAAATCTCATTCCTTGAAAATTAGTTCATTAAATCTATTGTCAACGGTGGACTAAGGAATCAACGTCAATCACACAATTACCTACGTTGTAATTAGCTTAAAACAATGTCATCATCACTGCACCATCCATCCATTTTCCAACGGCTTCATCCACTTCAGGGTCGCGTGGGACTTGGAGGCTATGTCGGGAAGCAGGAGGTACAAGGTAGCACGCACCCAGGATACACCCTGCATCACAGGGTAGACGGACACAAACACTCGCCAGGGTTCGTTTCCCCCAAACAAAGCCAAATAACCTAGCAGTACGTTTTTGGACTGTAAGAGGAAACTGGAGCACCCAGCAGAAACCCACACGAAAACGGGGAAAACCTACAAACTCTACACAGACAGCACTCCAGGTCCCGAATTAAAGCCAGGCCCCAGCACTACGAGGTAGCAATGCTAATCACCACGCTACCATGCCACCCAGCCTTTACTAAACAGCTTGTGCTAGGAGTGAAATTAAAAAGACACTTCCTTCTCTAAAAGCGAAGCCCTGCCCCGAGCTGTCTCTTGAATATTGGCCTTACTCACCTAACTTCCAACATGAACTCAGTCGCATTGAACTGAAAATAAAAACAATTTCTTAAACTACATTGCTTTTCCAAATGCCAAGTCACACTCCACACCTACTACAGGACTATACTTGGATTACCATATTCAGGTCTTACTGATTCTGCTCCGTGCTGCACCTGAGAGAGCAGAGGCACAGCCTAAGCAAGGGAAACAGCACTGAAGCCCTTCGCAAGCCATGTGCCTTGTCAAAACACAAAAAGAGAAACGCTGTTCCCTCCTGCGTCACGATCTAGTTTTAACTTTCGGCAGTCACAGGGCAGTGAATCACTTAAGGGAACAGAAACTAGAGCAAAGTTTTAACCCCGGATCCTCAGCAGCTGTGAGAGAACATTCAGCCATCACTACAGCAGAGAGACCACCTTAGAAACCAGAACAAGTGAAGTGTGAGCTGCAGTATTTTCTACAGGCAGGCAACCCGTTCGCCTATGGCACAGCAAGAGCTGGCGAGCGGCAGGGGCTAACAGGAGAGGAGTCACTGCTTTCTATCTCAACACCGAACATGGGTGAGAGGCCACAGCATCAGTGCCTTTCTTCAAAAAAACGTACAGGCCTGAGCCTTTAAGAACACCCTGCAGGAAATGTACAATATTAACAATGCCTGTATACGTCTCAAATTACAGTACAGAAGGTGGAAATACCTGTTTTTTTTCCCTGATTCCCAGTTACCTGTAATCTAAAAGTGCTTCACTCTAAACAGCAATGACTGTAAGCCTTGTATACTGAAGGTGAATTAATGCTATGAAAAAAAATGACATTTCCAGACATAAAATACATTTTATATATAACTGGCTCATATATATTTTTGTATTAGGTCTTAATATGCTTTTAGGTGGATTCTTGTCTTAACATTTTGATAGATGAAATAAAAGTCAATCTGACATGAACACCCTTTGGGCCTTTATACATGAGGCAATCCAGCTGGTGTGCTCTATCACTTTTCAGCTGCCCTGTATAACACCCCTGGCAACCTTCTGTCAATACCACAGAAACACCCTGGCAATGTGATCAGAGTGCACTCATAACAACAGGTACTGGGCAGTATCTTGTAAGTCCAGATACCATCAGCACCAATGAATAATCAGATAAGAATGGACACCTAAAAAAAACACAGTTATGAATGTTAGCAGTCAATTAAATATTCAAGTAGGTGGCTGTGTCAACATGAGTAGGCTGCAAAGGAATAATTAAAGGTTTATTTCAAGCTGAAAGAAACAAATGAAGCTGGTTTATTCAACATGGAATAAACCTTTACTAGGTAAATTAAATATCCTCTCATTTGGTAGCGAATTACTTGTTAAAAGATTAATCTCTGGTCCAGATCACTCTTAGACTTGAATATCAAATTAAGTAGCTAACTAACTATTAATAATTAAGATGGGCTCAGACAAAGAGAAAAACAGTAGAAAGACAAATGCTATATCTCTGGTGCATAAGCATTTTGATTCTGATATGACACAGCTGTCAAAATATAATTGCACGCTGCTGAGATTAAGAACAGTTTGTATTGAATGTGATCTGTAAATCTGCGTCACAGCATAACTGGTGAAACCCCCTGCAATTATATCATAGGCAAAAGATTGACGCAACTTATGTGGCCTGCATGTTGACTCATGTAGCAAGAGCTTTTGAGACACTTTGAGAACGAGGACACTGCAGCTACAATACTACTGCAAAGGCAGGCTTGCTGTCATCGTGTAGCGGCTTCTGATTCGATGGCAAAAACAGTTACACAATCAATAAATGTTCTGACAGACAGTTTTAATGATTTAAATTTCCCCTGACAATGCCCATTTTCAGAACTGTAAAGTCTACAAGTTCAAAAAAAAAAAAAAAGACTACCACTTCTGCCATCACGTACAGTGTCCTGCATTGTAAACTGTGCAAAACATCTTACAGACTCTTGAGACGCCACCCTACCCTTCCAGTGGCCCACAAGCACTGGATGTATCTTCCGGACTTACAATGTTTCCATAAACAGGCCACACAAAGGCTCGTTTTATCACTGTGTTGTGACTATTGTGAGGATTCAAAACTACCGTACTTCAGGCGAAAAGACGTCACAAGCACACACCTCTTTCGCACCACAGTATTAATAAGACGAACCCCCTTCACCGGACTGGAAAGTCGCTGCAGAGTCTGGGGTTGGGAGTCCAGACAGCAGGTTTTCCGTGTCTCTTTAAGTGGTTAACAGAAGAAGGCTGTCCAGAAGGACTGAAAGGAAAGAGCTGTACAGAACGTAAGGAGACACAGAAAAACCTTCCAGGCTCTGAGCCCCGAAAAGAATGTCAGCAGCTCACAACTGGCAACACTGATGCTCAGCATGGGGAGCCTGGTCAGCACCTGGGTGGGAGAGCTCCTGGGAAAGCTAAGGTTGCTTTGTTGTGGAGGGGAGTCCCCATTATTTGTAAAGCACTTGGAGTGCAGTTTCCAGAAAAGTGCAATTTAAGTGTGAGGATTATTATTATTAAAGACTGGATTTACCCCAAGACTAACAAGCATACTCAGCACCATTAGCCTACTGTATGCCAATTTGTCAAACCAGATATTTTTTATTTTTTGCAGCAGTTAAGAGCAATTCCTTATTGTACTGACTCATAATAAAAACTGGTTAGGAATGTGGAGCAATCAGGAAATGTAGTTACAGTTGCCCTTGATACTAACGAGATACTTCACTTCGCAAATTGTAATTTGAATTCATCCTGAATAAAGGTGACGACTATGAAATGATCGCCAAATAATAAGTCAATGTGAATACATGTGGGGAAAAAACATTTAAAAACCCGACAGGCTGCTGTTCGTGAAAATCTTAATTTGTTTTACAACTGAGTCTATAATTATACCTTTAGTATGCGGGAATGCTTTGAAGCGTGCCGAGCTCAGGAAGTTAAAGGGATTTTAGGGTCCAAGAGACCTTATGTGACAAGGGGGTAAAATAAGCTAACCTACACAAGTTGTCCCGCTACAATGTTGATTTGGGGACAAATCTTTTTTAATATATAAAGAAACGTCATACCACAAAAATGTAGTTTAACAACAATCTGTTCAGGAAAAACTATTTCCATTGGACTTCAACCTAATCCCGAAGACCCACCACGTCCTAACAAGTAAAACACTACGTGATCACATTTGTTCACAGATTTTTAAAACCGGCATATAACACTTTTTCGTGTCTTGGTGATGTGTTTGTCTTGTTTTTTTTTCAGAACAACTGGGACAGTTAAAGAAAAAACACAGCTGTACATTTAAACTGAGAAAAGAAACGCTTGTAATTTTTTTTTGTTAGGAGATACACAACACGATTAAACCGCTACACCTCCACCGTGAGTGAAGATTTTTCCTCATTTTTAACGAAACACCACGGCGACCGGTCGGGATTTCGTGTCGAGCGACAGCCCGGACCTTAACGCGAAGGAGCCGCGGGCGAGGGATTTCATCATGGAGATCGTCCACACGAGAAAAAAAAAAAAACAGACCCCCCGAGAGACAAAACGACAACTTCTCCCGACTCCTTCTCTCCTGTGCAAAACGTTTCCTGTCTCTACGAATCGCTGCCGGGAGTTTAGCGACAAATCCCGGGTCGTATATATATATATTACTATTACACGTGCAGGCTTTTCAGATAGAAAGCAAACTCACAGACGGGGCCTGGGGCTTCTCAATTCCGAATAACCAGAAGCGCGAAGAAGCAGCAAAAAAAAAAAAAACAACAACAAATAAAATACAATAATACAGCTGTAAAATAAATGGAGGGACAAAAGTACAAATGCAAATACCCCCTACCCCCCCACAATCTCCTCCTCTTTCGCCGTCACCCCGTGAAAAACACTACTGACTTGTTACTTCGGCATTCGTCCGATTTACTTCTACAAACACACAAACAGAAATGAGGTTACCGAAAACCGCCTCATCGCGCTGCTTTTCTCGCTCCCCGTCACAGGCTTATCGATCCGATTTGTGATTTATTTCACTCTTCGGTTTTGTTGAAAGGCTTCTCACGGGCGGCCATCTTGGATGTGGGGGTTTGACCTCTGGGGTCGCCCAGTCACGCCGTACTTAAAGCGACAGAGACTCACTAATGCTACACGAACATCGCCTACATTACGTTGCTGCATTAGAGTCCCTGCATTTCAGACTCTCTTCAGATGTAACTCGCATTTTAACCATTTACGGCTGTCAGAGAAAGCACCGAAATACCGATCTCACACAAGGCAGTGTGTGTATAAACATGCCAGACCGCACTGCAGACTGGGACAATAATTAGCAGTCTTTTAAAAAATGCATTCCAGAAAGTTGTTTTTTTTGTTAGATGCACCCTCAGATGTGCGTAGTATGTAGGGGCTCTTGCAACAAGCGCAGGTCGAAACTATGGGAACGTGTTTAACGATTATAAGGCGTTTTTTCTGAGAAAGCACCAGTGCAAGCTATGGGGAATTGCTTTAAAATGTGAAAACAAGAGGCAGGCGCTTCTTTGCCTTAAGGCTTGCAGGAGGATGGAACAACCTAACCAGCCATGTTGCTGAAACCATTACTCAGATTTCTTCCAAGAAACGGCTGGATAAGATCGTTGGAGCAATTAGCTACTATGAAAATGGCCAGACGGGCTAGCTTGATTGGAACGGTCTTGTGTTCCTGTGTCATTAGATTTAACTCGCTGTTTTTGCAAAGACCGCTTTTTAAATTGGAACAGACGTATTTGTCACTGGTCCAGCCTTCAGCAATGTATGGTATTCTACAATGTTGCTGACAGAGTATTTTTAGTTATCATCTTGGTAAGTCCAGACATTTTATCAGAAAGGCTGGCGGTATTGGGGCTGAGGGGACGGCACTGTGGCGATCTCACAGAAGCACGCTGTTGACTGTCATTGGAACAGTGTTAAAGCATCTTTCATACATTTTGTAACACACAGCCAGATACATGTAACACACACAAACTAACAAGTTTTGGGTGAGTTTCAGTGATTGTCAGCCTTATTTATTTCACTGGGAGGCTTCTCAGTCACTCCACTGGCGCCAGGCCTGGCTCTGTTCTGTGGAATGATAACCAGAGAAGTGCCTATACGATTCTGCTTGGACCCATCACAGATACCCATCTGGGGATGAAAGCCACAAGTCTTTGTATTTTGACAAACGTGGCGCGTAGAACTTTTAATTTCCCAGAG